TGGAGATTAAACTCTTAAAAATTAACCAGAAACAAAGACCTGGGTCCAGTGCAGAACATTTCTGGTATAAAGCTGGTTTTGTGAGACAAAAAAGCCCTGGCAATCTGAAAAGAGTGAAAAATGGTACTTTGCTATAGGGGACAGATAAATATTTCTATCACAGTACACAGTAGCTTTTGGCAAAAGATACATTAATCTACAGCATAGTTATTTTTAAAACTTCTTAGTTTAAACCTGGGTCATCTAATGCACTTTAAAATATGTTACTGTGTCTACATACAATTCAGTCTTCAGTTGTAAACTTCTAAAGGTGTGATTCCTGATTCTGCACAGCCTGGACTTTTTCCACACTACAATAGATCCTGGGTTTTTCCTGCCCTATTTTCAAGAAACACAATTTCAATAATATAAACTATAGCCCTTAGCTTGAAAAAAAGGAAAGGAAGTGATTTTAAAGAGTGCTCAGGATTGTCATGAAAACATAAATCTCTACAGTGTTTATATCCTCTTCTAACTCTTACTGGTATAAAAATAAAGCCTCTCTTGGTTAAGCCAAATTGATTTTCTGGGTACCTGCTATTAAATTGGATGCAATCCTGAATATTCAGTGGTAAAGTGCTCTGATTTCTCCTTCCAGTAAACAGAAATGTACAAATTTATTTGTTATGGGTCAAGGTGTGATTTGATCCTGTCTGCCTTCACTGGATTGGTGTATTTGGGGCTTTTGAGCTGAATAAGTGTATGATACCATGCTGTCTTGTTAGACTTGAGAAAAACGAATAATGTATATGAACCTTGCACCTGCTGCTGCCCAGATCTGCAGTCAGCCTGCTATAAAACAGAAGGGGGAACCCAGTTTGGCTGGGACTTTGCTTGTTTGTTTTATTTCATAAGCCAAATTTTATTTCCCTTGGTGACAAATTCAGGTGGCATGATTTCAGTTGCAGCAAAATCTCCCCTTCTAAATCAAAGGTAACAGATGTCGTGGAAATATTAACTGCTAATGTCAACAATGTTATCCAGGCTCACAGAATGAGTTTTGAAAATGTTTGTCCTCAGCTTATAGACATTTTCTATTTTCCTAGTCAGGTGATTATGCTACAAGAGTAAACCTAATATTTTAAGCTGAACAGTATTCCTGTAAGTATGCCTCTTTTTGTCCTTTTTGAATAAAACACTAAAAATCTGAATTACTTGAAAAAAATTGTATCCTGCCTTTCTCAATTTCTTAACTCATAAAAGGCTACTAAAATGTCACTCTTATTTTTGGGGACAAACTATAAAGTGAATTTCAGTAATTCCCACAGGAAGAAGAAGGCTGAGATGTTTGTTGATTCATTGCTATTGAGATGCCCGAAAGCCACAGTACTACAAGAATCCTATCAGGTTTTGTGTGAGCAGGGAATGTTTCTTCTGGCCCCACAGAATTTTCTGAACAGCCCTCAGTGAAGTAATTTCTTTTCCATGTGTTTTGGTTCCCTAGCTGTAAGAAAGGAAAATGGTCCTTGCCTGCCTCACGGAAGGCAGATATTCTCATGATACTGCACATCATGAGAATGAATCCATAAAAATTCATAAAGCACCAGGTGCTTTAAGACAACATGATCCTTAGCCTGAGGATTATATAGAGCTTTAAATGGAACAAAATATACTTTCATAGGCCCTGCAGTGCTTGCAGCAGAAACCTTGAATAAAAGGAGGGCAGATTTGTACATCTGTCTCAATGCAGCAATAAAGTGGTGGCTAAAGAGAGAAGCATCTTCAGAACAGCAACTCCTGCACAGCTTCAGAGTTACAGCTGCCTCCTGAGCTGGTCCTTAGTCCATTCAATAGAGAGGAGGATGTTCTGCAAGGGGAGGTTCCTGCACAGGAACCACCTGGCTAAATGAGCATCTTCCACAGGCAGCAGAACATTCCTTCCCCCTGTCTCCTGGGGTTCTCTTTCAAGTACAGCTGTTTAGAGTGGAAAAAAAAAAAAAAATAATAATAAAAAAAAAAAACTTGGAAGCATGGATGCAATTTTTGAGGCATGAAATTCAGAATGTTGATGAGATTATGTATTTCCCAGCTGATGTGAGGTTTAAAGCCATTTCAGAATTATACACCACAGTGCCACTGTTATCTCCTCACCAAATCATTGTTGTTTGGATTTTTTGTTTGTTTGGTTGTTTTTATCTAATGGACAAATATACAGGGGAAATGCCATCTACAAAATAATGTAAAATAATAATAATGTGGTTTTTGATTAGTGTTGCAAGTGTTTAGGATAACCACAAGGGTCTGCACTAGTTTTTTTGGTTTCATTTTTTGCTGATTCAGTATATTCTTTAATTTCCAATTAAAACCACTTCTAAAAACAAAAATCTCACACAAAAATTCAAGACATTCAATTTCTAGCAACATCCTTCCTGCCAAAAGTTCTAGACTTGACAATGTCATATATAACACCACAAGAAATAATAATGTTTTTCGTAATTTCAAAGTGGCTTCAAATCTGAAATTGTTGAAGGTGAATACAGGTATCCCCATGCCAAGATTCATGCTTTTAAAATAAACCCCACAATAATGTCACAGATATCACCTCTCCACTTGTACATTTAGCATTCTTCATTTGCAGGATACCAGATGTTTCCTGTGTAAACTTCTGGGCACATATGCAATTGATAAATGGAGAGGAAATTAATGAATTGAGAAGATAAGCCAATCTGGGCTGAAAAGGATGGTTTCCAGCTGTGAATGGAAGTGATTTATCATTGAGCTAAAGGATCAGCTTTTCTAGCTCAAACCAGCAGATACATCATTACATTTAATCCAGACTTCCACACAGATATTTAAGAGTCTTGCAACTGACTGCAGCAGAGCCAGAATTTCACCCATAGTGTTTGCCTAGGCTGAAAGCCCATTCCCCACAGTTCTGTTGTTATTATTTATTTATTTGGTACGTGTGGTTATTTCTATAGCAGAGGAATAAAAACCATCTGTTTGTGCTCACAGGATAGAAAGATTGCAGCTGTGGCTGCTGCTTAGCACAGCAAAAGGAGACTGAGCTTTATTCTCTCTTTTTAACCTTTGGTAATGAGAGGGGCTTGTTGACCTTGTCATTGTTGACACCTGGCCAAACCAGTGAAGAATTTAAGGTTTTGCAGACTAGAAGCACATGGCTGCTTGGAAACTTGAATACCTGAAATGTGCACACAAGCTATTATGATTTGCTTGGGTAAATGTTTGTAGAAAGGGAAATTATAGAAGATACTTGCAAATTTTTAGATCAGGACAAGTTTTTTGATCTGCAGTGAGGCTCAGTGGAATAAAGTGTTCCCAAACCTCACCAGAACACCCCTGGTGTCCAGAGAGCAGCCAGGCAAAGGTGAAGAGATGAGATTGTAACTCAGGTCTCAGTCTTTTATTGTAAACACAATAGAAAATTTTGATTTTGAAAACCCAGATTACTTTCCATCTAACTCATCTCCATGACAAGCCTACTCTGAATCTCTAAAGGCAGCTGGGCTGGTGTGAGAAAGGGAATGAGAACCTGTGGTAAGGGAGCCCCTTCCCAGACAGAGCTGTAAGGTCCATTTGGATATATCTTTGCACTGTGTTCCTCTGTGCCTTTCATTGTCTCAGGATGAGGCTTTAGAAACAGCTCAGTGCACTAGAAATGGTTCCCAAACACTGCCACTATGATGACAATCATTAAGGTCACATTTTTTTTAGATTCTCTCTTACTTCTTATACTATTCTGTCTTACTAAGTGATTCAAAGCTCCTGTAAATTGCTCTTGGTGTAGGAATTACAGTCCTTTGTGCAGCAGAAACAGAATAATATGACTTAACCTGATGTCACAAACAGACGTGGGAATTCCACTGCACATCCATTCATCCTGGCAAAGTCACTGGAGAGATACAGATGGGTATCTTCCCAATGCAGATGAAGATGATGGTCTTGTGAAAAGCTACAAAAGAGATTGTTCTCTGCTGCTGCTCTGTGATTAGAATAATTTGGCCCATTCTCACAAAGACACTGATAAAATACAGGTGGCCTGAATAAATACAACTTGGAGGAGAAAAAAAGGTAAGCTTCTCCTCCCAGTTCATTCTGATTTGAAGTCCAAGTAGGTCTAATTAAAGTACTTTATGTGCTGATATGCTGTCAGGGTCAGGAATTTTGGTTTTTGAAAGACAAACTTGTGAACCATTTTTAATTCCAGTAAGTTGAATTCCAAAGACAATTCTCTGTGCTACAGATACACACTTGGCCTGAAAGCCCTTGACCAATGTAGTATTAGATCAGCACCTTGAGGAATTACAAAGGCAAAACTTGGTCTCTCTGCATGAATAAAATAAATCCTAGGCACAGAATATGTTCAGTCAACAAACTAATCCCACTTTCAGCACCTGAAATATTGGGACAAAAAGGGATTTCAGGCAAGGCCATCAAATTCCAGCAATGCCCTAATGCTGCTCTGAAAGAACGTGTTTTTTGCCCAACAAAATAAATAAGAAAAAGCCCCAAAGCAAAAAAAAAAACCCAAAAAGAACAGAGCAGTGGTCTTTCTAATTGTGTCCTTTATCTCCAAATTTGCATGATTTTGCAATTATACAATATTATTTTGCTATAATAGAATATGCTATTGGAATACCCTTTATTTAAGGTTTTGCCTATTGCAACTGTCTACTCTTATTTAAATGGACATTCCATTTTAATGCTCCCTTGACCCTAATAATGGATTTGATGGTGAGGTGCACAGGCTGTTTGGAGTGCTGTGGGGTATGAAAGACCTGCTCCATTGTTACTGGTTGGTGGCCATTCATTTAAATTTTACATGAAACAGCCAGTATAAACATCTGATAGCTTGAAAATTATCTTCTGAAATTTACTTTTTTCTTAGTCTCAACATAATATTTGTCCTTAGATTCAGAACTTGGGCTCAAGCCACAGTTCTTCCTGCAGTTCTGCACGAAATGCTGCCTTCAGAAAGCAGAAAGAATGGATGTCGTTACCGGATTAAGTCCAGCAGTGCATCTGCAGAGCTCATGATGGGCTTTCCACCCTCCTCAGTGCTCTCCTTCTGTGCTGCTCCACCAGGGTGGATAATGGAGACCATAATTATTCCCACAACCACAGCCACAAACGTTGTCCACAGGTAGTAAGTGACGGTTATGATTCCCAAGCGACTGGAAGTCTTGGCATCCAGGGCTGCGAGCCCAGACATCAAGCTGTGGGAAGAAAACACAGCACAAATTGTATCTTTTGCCTTACATTAACGCAGCTGAAAGCCTAATTTCTGAATTATTCCAGCCTGCCTGCTTCTCTTACAGCTGATTCTACATTTCAGTGTTTTAAAAAGCTTGCCAGTAACACTAAAGCTGCAGTCTCTGTGTCTGAAGGGGCGTTCTCCAATTGCAAGCTCAGGCTGCACATGTAGGGACTGGATCCTACTGACTCTTCCCTGCAATTCCAGGGACAGTTTTACACTAATTACACATGTGATGGCTCAGTTCACAGGAGCAGTGGCAGTAGTTATTAAAACTCTGTGTGTCATACTTTACACATGATTTTACAGAGTAATAGAATACTTCAGGTTTGAATGGACCTCTGAAGAAAATCTAATAAACCCACTCACCCCTTCAAGTGAGGACACAATTTTGAAATAAAAACACTAAGGGGAAATTTTGTCATATAGTCAATTCTTTACCTAAAAGAATAACATCATTTTCTTTCAAAATCAATTCAAAGCACAATGTATTTTTACTTTACCAGGGGGCACATTGGGAGCAGACTGTAATTCAGTGTGCCTCCAGTCTAAATGGGGACAGTGGATGGGATTCAAAGGAAACACCTCCATGGAAAGTATGGCTGCCCAGTTGGGAGTAATGAACATGCTGTGATCACTTCAGCCTTTTCATAGAATCAGAGAATAAAAGAGTTGTATAATCATAGAATATGCTGAGTTAGAAGGATCCCATCAGGATCTTTCCTCTTCAGCTTCCTGCCCAGCACTGCCAGAGCATCACCAGTGTCCCTCCTCTTGCCTGTACAGTTTGCCTGTGCAAAGCCATACAACTCTCTATTTGAAATTTAGCTCCCACTGACCCTCTTGTACAGGCAAATTAGACAGGGCACTCTTTGGCCCCTGAGGTTTCTTTGCTCTGACATAGACCCTGATGCAGTTTCCAAGTGACCTGAGTCTGGGATTTGATTTTCCACTGACAGAAGTGTTGTTTGGGGCTTTAAATTGAGATTTAACTTTGGATAATTATCTGTGAACTCTCCGAAACATATATGTCAGGAAAAGTACAGGTAAAATCAAATACATTATTTGGTGTGTCCAGCTTTCTTATCAAAACAGACTTGTTTATCAGGCCTGTTCTCATATATATTTACTAAGATGCACCTCCTTGAATAAGATCTCCTTGACCTCACACTGCTGAGAGAGGTTGTCTAGAGCCAATGCTAAAGTGCAGCTTAACCTTTATAGTAGATTTGATGAAATCAAATGGGTGGATTTAGTGTTCAGGTTCCAGCTATCCACTAGATTAATTAAGAAAATGTATTGCTTTACTGCATTGCCAGTCTCTCATCTAGCATGGGTTTTGTTAACACTATATGAGCAAGGGTGCACTGGAGTTTGGATAATTTAGAAAATAAGCATCTCAGTAACTCTCACGCTTGTAAACATTGTTCTTTGCTTTTATTTATCATTGGATTTGATAAAAATATCACCTTTCTGTGTGTCTGCAAAGTGCACAAGTGTACAAACACAGCACTACATAGTGAAAATACAGTAGTAGGAACTCTACTTTGTTCCTTTCCTCATCCAAGGACATTTTCCTTGGATGAGTCCGTGCAGAAGAGTAAATATTCTAAAACACTTTTTTTATAAAACAGTTGAGTTAAATATATTTATCTCAAATTAATGTGACAGTTTTCTGTTAAAAAACCCTGTGTTGTTATTAGATTTTCAGGACTGAACCCTTCTCTCAGGCTGAGGTTCCACAGGCCATTGAGCCAGTTTGACAGCTCATTGCTGCACAGAGTAGATACCTATATTGTACTAGAGTACAGCGCTGTTCCACCCCCCACATTCCCAGGGGAAAAAAAAAATTAAAATCGGGTTGATTTTTAACCAGTTGGATGTTTTTCATGGTAACAGTTTTTAGGCTTCTTTATAGATACATGATGCAGGGTGGTGACAGCAGTGGTATGAAGGGCTGACTGTTGAGCAGCAGAGCTGTAACTTGTAGGCAGAGCAGCTCCTGGGAGAGGGCACTGCCAAGGAGACAGTTCACTCCCCTCCCTGGTACTGCCCTGAAGCCACTGCCACTGTGGGAAGCCACATTGTTCTTGTCCTTGATGCCTCTGGGCCGTGTTGGTTCTACAGAACAGTAGAGGGGTGAACCCTCTCTTGATTGCTCTCCTAAGAAGTATTTCCAGAAGTACTTAGAGACAAAAATCCTAATTAAATATGTCCAGTGGTTCACGTGAGTTTAGGGTTGTTACCTCAGCCTCAAGATGCAGGGCCTTAGGATTTGGGAGAAGGTTGTTCAGCTGGAATCTAATCTTACCTTGGCTCATAGGTGGCAAATCCTGAGGGGGCTAATAATGAGATTGCTCTGTCTTGGGGATATTCATTAACAAGATCATCATCTGTAATGAGATTATCCTGTCACCAGATAAAGTCATGCTCAGTTCATGCTGTGATGAGAAAGTCATCAAAAGTAATTAACTATGGAGGTGCAACGGGGTAACTGTGATGTGGCAGAAGCATGAACAGAGGTCTGGGCTCAGACAAAACCCTGTGTTCTCCATGGCTTGCAGTGCTCAGGAAGGGACCACTGGAACCAGTTCTCCAAAGGCTGGGGAGACAGTGACAGTGGTTGTGTCATTTTAGGCAATAGCTCAGAATCATTTCAGAAAGAAATGCCTGTAACTAGGATGAGACAGTAATCACTCATTCACTATTTTTTTTTGACTTCATGTGTTTGATATCAGAAGGAACAGGACAAAAGACACAAAGATTAAGAGACATAGTGGTCATCACAGTTGTTGTACAAAGCAAGTAATCACAGTCACATCACAGCAGTTTATTACTGTTGATCTCTAGAGTTCTAACATTCACACAATGTAGCCAAAGGATGACAAGAAAAAGTATTCTAACTTCCTAGGGAACAGGAGGGCCAGGAGGAAAAAGCTTCCAGCTAGTTAAACTAAACATGATACAGCCAGTCACTGTATCATGCTCAGGTCCTCCCTCTAAGTCTAATTTTCATCAGAGACTCTTGGCTACATAAAAACTTCCTGAAGAGTTTCACAAGAGATTCTTCTAAACCAGAACAAAGCTATTCTCATGGCTTCCACTGCTAGACTCTCATGAAACACACTGGAATGGAAAACAGTGTATCTTTAATTCTTGTCAAACCTAAGAATCTGGTTGGCCTCAAAAGAACAGGGCAGATGTTTGATTCATAGATTGAAATCATTGAGATGCTGTGTAGTTAAGCAGCTTCCCCACATATGATTAATGTGTAGCTTCCATAGTGTGTTTTAATGATTGCCAAATGGACAAAACAGGATTAAGACAATAAAAACCAATCTGCATATTTTCTAAATAATTACTGTACATCTCACTCCTTTAATCAGTCTGTGAAAAAAAAATCCACAAAATTGTAATTTAATGTTCAGAGACCATTTCTTAGCTTGTATAGAAAAAAACTTGTCAAGCCTAAAGGGAAAGGGAAGATATCTTCAATTCTAGGAATTAAATGTGACTAATTAAAAAGGTAAAGTCAGTTTCTACATTGTATAAAGTATTTGTAATTGTACAAACCAAAGAATCGAGTACTAAGTTTCACATCTGTTTTGAGGGAAATCTGTGTAAAACCCCCAAAACTAAAATAGAATTTTTGACGTAAATAAGAAGGGAATTCTTTCCAATATCTTGGAAATCTAATTAGTCCCATGCAAACAAGTAGCTAAACCCTTTTGAGCGCCTCTAGGCTTGTTCTGTCTGTCACAGATCAGCATCAGGTATTTCATTTACAAATAAAAATAGAACTTGCTATCTTCTCTGCAATTCTCTAGGTTTTTCTCTTGCTCTCTGATGCAGGCACATTTTTTTGTCCTGTCTGAAGATCAAACCCTATATCCCCAGAAAGGGAAAACACAAGAAGCTGCTGCTAAGACCCTGTTCTGCATGTTTATTTTGTCTTCCTCTCCACCAGAAGCCATCTGGATGTTGCTTTGAAATAGATGGATTATGGATAAAGTTATCAGAAGGGATTAGTGTGATTAGAAAGACATTAATCCTGTCAAGAAGTAATGGTCAAGTATTAACCACCAGCAGTTGTTCCTAGAATGATGTTTGTTTTCATTCATCCCGTTCCCTCCCTCCCATTCTCATTTTGTAATTGCATCCCGTGGAAAAGACCTTCCTGAGCAAGTTCTGCCAGTGAGGCTGGGAAGTGCCTCCAACAGCTACATTAGAGATTATTATATTGCAGTTGAGCATCATGAAAGGGAAGTGCTGGCCTCACTAATGCTGCTTGATCATGCAGACAGGCTGTCGCTCATCTTTTTGTCAAGGTCAGTGCCTTCACGTCTCAACATGATAATAATGTGCATTTCCATAGCACAAGCCATTTAATCATCTCAAAATGCTTCACCAGTGGAACCTTCTCTAATGTAGGAAGGCAGTATCTCCATTTCATAGGCTTGGAAACAGAGAAATTAAGGCACTTTTAAATCAAGACAAACCACTTTCAGTGAAAAAAAAATCTGCCGGAGGTGATCTCTGTATTGCAGTGAACCATCACACTTTTCCTTATCTGTGCCCAGCTATCTGTGCTTTCAGAAGAGGCTGCTTGACTTCCATGGAGGCACCATTTTCAGAGTAATGTTTGCAACAGAAAATAAAACTCTACAGTAAGGAAAGAAAGAGATAAGAAACTTTCTCTGTCTCTCTTTATAGTTTAATGCTTTATTTACTCTTAGTCTCTAGTGTAGTTAAAATTATTTCAGCAGTGAGAAAGAGGGATCAGGATGACTTTCCCTTTTCAGTATATCCTTTTGTTTTCTTCTAATATAAAAAATACCTACAGAGCAAGCCCCTGCCATGGCTGCACTAGACAAAGGGCAGTGGTAGTGGTGGGAAGATCACAGCCCAGCCCTGTCTGCTTCATCCTGCCCCATGGTCTGCCCTTCCTGGCAGAGATGTGTT